AGACAGCATCTTCCCGAGATCCCCGCGTCACAGACAGCATCTTCCCGGAGGTCCCCACGTCACAGACAGCATCTTCCCGGAGGTCCCCGCGTCACAGACAGCATCTTCCCGAGATCCCCACGTCACAGACAGCATCTTCCCGTCACAGACAGCATCTTCCCGGAGATCCCCACGTCACAGACAGCATCTTCCCGGAGATCCCCACGTCACAGACAGCATCTTCCCGGAGATTCTGCTGTGGCTTTGGCCCCTGCTCAGTTTTCTTCACCCAATCTCCAGCTTAATGTGCGGGTTAGTCAGGGTTCTCTGGAGGGACAGAACTAACCGGATATACACACACATACACACAGAGGAGAGTTTATTAACTATTAACTCACTCGATCACAGGGTCCCACGATACACCGTCTGTCTGCAGGCTGAGGAGCAAGGAGAGCCAGTCCGAGCCCCAGACCTGAAGAACTTGGAGTCGGATGACGGAGGGCAGGAAGCATCCAGCGCGGGAGGAAGACGTAGGCTGGGGGGCCGGGCCTGTCTTGCCTTCCCACATTTTTCTGCCTGCTTTATATTCTAGCCTCGCTGGCAGCTGATGAGACGCTGCCCACCCAGACTCAGGGTGGGTCTGCCTCCCCCACCACTGACTCAACTGTGAATCTATTTTGGCAGCACCCCCACAGACACACCCAGGATCAATACTCTGTATCCTTCAATCCAGTCAGGTTGACACTGTGTTGACAGCACAGAGTTGGCGTGTGTGGCTGGCGAGAGGCCCCGCAGCCGCCCTGCAGAGGAGCCGCCCTCCCTGTGTGCCTGGCATGGCCCGCCCCCTTCCTGTGCCGGGGTTGTGGCCCACGCCCGACCTGTGCCCGCAGTGTGGCCCAGCAGCCCTGGAAGGCCAAAGTGCTGTCAGCTGAGACGCGTCCCTGCATCTCCGGCGAGGGTGTCACCTGTGTCCCTCTGGTTTCAGCACGGAGCCCCAGCCCCGTCCTCAGCTGTGGCCAGAACACTGTGCCCCTCACAAAGGCCCCCTGGAAACCCTGTTTCCAGTCCAGCTTCTCGGAGGAATCTGAGCCCCCGCTTCCCGTGCCTCCTGGGGCTCTGAAGCTGGCGGGCCTCTTGCATTTGCAGGTTCCACACTCTCAGCCTCTGAGAGTTGCCCGAAGCTCAACATAGAACGTTCCAGGGCAGGTGTGGCAGCTCACGCCTGTAATCCCATCACCTGGGGAGGCTGAGGCGGGAGGATCGGATGAGCCCAGGAGGTGGAGGCTGCAATGAGCTGTCATTGTGCCGCTCCAGCATGGGTAACAGAATGAGACCCTATCTCTAAAGTAAAATTTAAATAAAGAACATTCCAGCACCCAAAGTGTCTCCGGTGTCCATCTCTGTGGATCCCCATCCCACACTTCTCCAACTTCTGTGACCAGAGATTGGCCTGATAAAACAGGGACATTTTGCCACTTGTGGGTCTGGCTTCCTCCACGCAGGCTTCGTCCACGCTGCTCAGTGTGACGAGCTTCGGTCTCTCACGGCTTGGTTTGTGAACCGTGACTGCTGCACCCACTCTGCTGCTCTGGGGACCAGGGCTGCTCCGAGGTTTTGGAGATGAGTGAAGCTGCCATGACTGTACCCCTCTGTGGACAGTGAGACCACTTCTCTTGGGCACATGCTAAGTGGACTCGGGCAACGTCAGTCATAGGGTTGGCATACTGTTTTGCTTTACAGAAACGGCTAAATGGTTTTCTGAAGTGTCTGCCCCAGTGCACATTCCACCAGCAGTGTGTGAGTGTTCTGGTTGCTCCATATCCTTGCCAACACTTGGTATGTTCGACTTTTAAATTTTAGCCTTTCTGATGGGTGGTAGTGGTATTTCTTTGTGGCTTAATTTGCATTTCCCTGATATTACTGCTGCTTAGAAACTTTTCCTACATTTATTGGCTATCTGGAATCCTCTTTTGTGAAGTGCTTATTCAAATCTTTTGCTCATTTAAAAATTGGTTTATTTGTCTTTGATTGTTTGTTTTCTTTGTAGGCTTTTGTTTGAGATATTCTGGATACAGTCTTTGGTAAGATATGTACTGTAAATAATCTCTTGGTCTGGAAGTTGGCTTATCACTCTCTCAACGAGGTCCTTTGATGTCCAGAAGATATTCAGTCAAATTTGTCAGTCTCTTACGTTATCCTTTTTATTTTTTTGAGATGGAGTCTCACTCTGTTGCCCAGGCCGGAGTGCAGTGGCGCGATCTCAGTTCACTGCAACCTCCGCCTCCTGGATTCAAGTGATTCTCCTGCCTCAGCCTCCCGAGTAGCGGGGACTATAGGCACCTGCCACCACACCCGGCTAATTTTTGTACTTTTAGTAGAGACACAGTTTCCCCGTGTTGGCCAGGCTGGTCTCGAACTCCTGACCTCAAGTGATCTACCTGCCTCAACCGCCTAAGGTGCTGGGATTACAGGCGTGAGCCACTGCACCCAGCCTTTATTCTTAGTGATTTGATATCTTATTTGAGAAAGCCTTATTACATGTATAAAGAAATACAACTGGCTTTTATAAACTTACTTTGTAACCAGGGATCTTGCTAAATTTCCTTATTAATTTTAATAATTTATCTGTAGGTTTTTTGGTTTTTCTTCCCTATGCAGAAAAACATATCTTCTGAGAAAACGACAGTTGTGTCTTTGTACCGTCTTTATGCCTTGTGCTTACTCCACCTCCCGCCCTGGTGTGGGTCCTGGGTACAGTATTGAACGGAAATGGCGCTCTTGGACATTAGGCAGCAGGGGGCTCAGGGCAGGGAGACTGCCAATCGCCCCGTCTTCCCTCCTGGAGAAACTTTCCCGGGAGACATCCAGGTGCCACCCTGAGTTTGCAGGGGGGAGATGCCCAGAGAAAGAGCTGTGGAGCTCTGCAGGGAGCACCCTTGAGAATTTGCTCAAGAAAAGAGCACCCTGCGTGTGAGGAACTCACACAAAGTGGAGGAGGAGCCGCCTGAAAGATTACAGGGAAAAGCATTCAAGCCTGACAAAGAGCTGCTCCCGAGACCCAGAGTTTAAAACGCTTCCTAGTTGGCAGGGCATCACCTACAGCACTAGAAGGTTCTTGCCTCAGAAACGGGGGGAAATTGGCCTTAGACTAAACATTGCTCTGATCACACCGAATGAAGTTTAAAAGAAAGATCCGAAAAAATTACACTGTTTCCAGGTAACTTAAACATACACAAGAACAATGATCAACAATATTTTTAGAGGCTGGGCGCTGTGGCTCATGCCTGTAATCCCAGCACTTTGGGAGGCCGAGGCGGGCCGGATCACGCGAGGTCAGGAGTTCGAGACCAGCCTGGACAACATGGTGAAACCCTGTCTGTCTCTACTAAAAATTCTAAACAAAAGTTAGCCAGGCGTGGTGGCTGGCACCTATAATCCCAGCTACTCAGGAGGCTGAGGCAAGAGAATCGCTTGAACCCAGGAGGCGGAGAGTGCGGTGAGCCGAGGTCACGCTGCTACACTCTAGCCTGGACGACAGAATGAGACTCTGTCTCAGAAAAATAATAATAAAAAAAGAACATTTTTAGAAAACCAAAAACATCACACGCCCTGAAGGTAAATTTCAAAATATCTGTAATCCAATAAAAAATTACCAGGCCTGCAGAGAAGAGGAAATAGGAGGCGCACTGTGATCAGCAGAAACTGACCTGGAAACGACATGTCAGAGAATTCCTGCACGACAATGAGACACAGACCCCCACGCTGGGCAGGAGAGCGCTGACGGCACCGTGGACGCCGCAGACCACACAAAGATGACGGCGGAATAGTACCAACAACCTTAAGCCACGAAGTTTGACAACTTGGATAAAATGGACAAATTCCTTGAAAGGCACGAACAGTCAAAGCTCATTCAAAAAGACACAGGCAGGCCGGGCGCGGTGGCTCACGCCTGTAATCCCAGCACTTTGGGAGGCCGAGGCGGGTGGATCACGAGGTCAAGAGATCGAGACCATCCTGGTCAACATGGTGAAACCCCGTCTCTACTAAAAATACAAAAAATTAGCTGGGCATGGTGGCGCGTGCCTGTAATCCCAGCTACTCAGGAGGCTGAGGCAGGAGAATTGCCTGAACCCAGGAGGCGGAGGTTGCGGTGAGCCGAGATCACGCCATTGCACTCCAGC